TAGGATCTGTTTATGACGAATACATTAAGGTATCTGCAATCCTAAAATGCTATGGGAAGGGAAGGAAACAGGTCCGTGACGTAGGAAGTAGTGAAGGAAGTAGTATAGGCAATCATAAAATGCTATGGGAATAGAGGGAAACAGGTCCGTGACGTAGGAAGTGATGAAGGAAGTAGTAAATGCGAGCAGTCCGGAGTGTGGGGACTGTTTATGACGATAAGATTAGGGTATCTGCAATCCTAAAATGCTATGGGAAGGGAGGAAAACAGGTCCGCGACGTAGGAAGTGGTGAAGGAAGTAGTCAAGGCGAGTAGTCTGGAGTGCGGGAACTGTTTATGACGATTAGAATAAGGTATCTGCAATCTTTAAGTACAATAGGAAGGGAGGGAAACAGGTCCGTGACGTAGGAAGTGGTGAAGGAAGTAGTCAAGGCGAGCTGTCAGGAGTGAGGGAACTGTTTATGGCGATTAGATAAGGGTATGGGCAATCCTAAAATGCTATGGGAAGGGAGGGAAACAGGTCCGTGACGTAAGAAGTGGTGAAGGAAGTAGTCAAGGCGAGCTGTCTGGAGCGTGGGAACTGTTTATGATGATTAGATTAAGGTATTTGCAATCCTAAAATGCTATGGAAAGGGAGGAAAATAGGTCCGCGACGTAGGAAGTGGTGAAGGAAGTAGTCTAGGCGAGTTGTCCGGAGTGTTGGAAATGTTTATGACAATTAGATTAAGGTATCAGCAAACCTAAAATGCTACGGGAAGGGAGGAAAACAGGTCCGCGACGTAGGAAGTGATGAAGGAAGTAGTCAAGGTGAGCTGTCCGGAGTGTGGGGACTGTTTATGACGATTAGATTAAGGTATTTGCAATTCTAAAATGCTATGGAAAGGGAGGAAAATAGGTCCGCGACGTAGGAAGTGGTGAAGGAAGTAGTCTAGGCGAGTTGTCCGGAGTGTTTGAAATGTTTATGACAATTAGATTATGGTATCAGCAAACCTAAAATGCTACGGGAAGGGAGGAAAACAGGTCCGCAACGTAGGAAGTGATGAAGGAAGTAGTCAAGGTGAGCTGTCCGGAGTGTGGGAACTGTTTATGACGATTAGATTAAGGTATTTGCAATCCTAAAATGCTATGGGAAGGGAGGAAAACAGGTCCGCGACGTAGGAAGTGGTGAAGGAAGTAGTCAAGGCGAGTAGTCCGGAGTGTGGGAACTGTTTATGACGATTAGATTAAGGTATCTGCAATCTTTAAATGCAATGGAATGGAGGGAAACAGATCCATGACGTAGGAAATTGTGTAGGATGTAGATGTGTGGATTTATGCATCTCCAATACTACGGTGCTTTCAGAGTGAACTAATGATTTTCCCCGAGCAAAGCTCGGTCCCCAGGTACTATAATCAAATGACGACACTAGCTTGAGGTTCGTGACGTATGAAGAGGTTAAGGAAGTAGTAAAGGTGAACAGTCTGGAGTATGGAAACTGTTTATGACGATTAGATTAAGGTCACAACGTTCCTAAAATGCTACGGAAAGGGAGGGAAACAGGTCCGCGATGTGGGAAGTGGCGAAGGAAGTAGTAAAGGCGAGCTGTTCGGAGTGTGGGATCTGTTTATGACGATTAGATTCAGGTATCTGCAATCTTAAAATGCTATGGGGAGAGAGGGAAACAGATCCGCGACGTAGAAACAGGTGAAAGAAGTAGTAAGGTGAGCAGTGTGGAGTGTGGGAACTGGAAACCGTTTGTAGCAGTTTTAATGTATCTGCAATGCTGAAATGCTATGAGAAGGGATGGAAGCATGCCCAAGACATAGGAAATTGTGAAAGAAGTAGTAAAGTCTAGCAGTACGGACAGTGGGGATGTTTGTTGCAATTAGATTAACGTATCTAAAATACTAAAATGCTATGGAAAGCGATGAATACAGGTCCACGACGTAAGTGGTGAAGGAAGTAGTAAAGGCTGGCAGTGCAGAGTGGGGGAACCGTTTGAGCAGATGGATAAATGAATTTGTAATACTTAAATGCTATGAGAAAGGAAGGAAACAGGCCAATGACGTAGTAAATGGTGAAGGAAGTAGTAAGGCTAACAGCGCAGAGTGTGGGAACTGTCTTTGGCAATTAAATTAATGTATCTGCAATCCTAAAATGCTATGGGAAGAGAGGGAAACAGGTCCACGACGTAGGGTGTGGTGAAGGAAGTAGTAAAGTCGAGCAGTGTTGAGTTTGGGAATCGATTAATGTATCTGCAATGCTAAAATGCTACGGGAAGAGACTGTAGACTGTAATATGTTAAAATGATTACGAAGCACAAATCGATACATATTTTCGATACATGCAATCGTTTACAATCGAAATTTACAACTGAGTTGACAACAGCTGATTTTTACTCCATAGAGGCTAAAAACGATTTTTACTCCCTAAATATTAAAAATGCTACTTTAGACCCGCAGCGCATGCATGAAAAAATACTGTTTTTACTGCAGTAAGACAAAAACAATATAATATGAACCCTTGATGACTCCGCTCAATTTTGTGGATGCCTCTGCGAACGCCACCTAGTTTTATACATTTCATGTTTATCATCTATGTTATGCAACAATGGGTATTCAATATTGTACTTAACTCTTTTTGTATCATTAGTTGTCAAAAGGAGTGTTATTTTTCTATCATGGCACCAATAGTTGTTATTGATCCTGCTTCCCATATTTAATTTAACATTGGATAAAAATATTTATCTTCTATAATTCTTGTGATACATTATCATTAATTGATTATTAATTATTTTTAGTTAATTAACTATCAATTATCAATTGAGTTGGGGACGAGACCTAGGTGTGTATTTTAACCAAAATATATGAGTGAAGGATGAGTGTAGAATGGCATGAGATGACTTTTATAGCTTTGTTGTTGACTATACTAAGATCAGCTGTGCCATTAGCCAGAATGATTTGTTTAAAGCCCATTGATCAGGAACAGCTGGATCTAGTTGAAAACTATCATAAGCTACTGAATTTTCTCAGGATCGAACCGGCGACGCTTTGATTGTTAGGCACTTGATCACTTGATGTTGGATTGTGTTAGCACTTTAACCACTCAAATAAATTATATAAATGGGCTGGCTTACAAATGTGAGGGTGAGAGTTACAAGCCAAAGAATACTTGTCAGTGGTTTTACAGAGTAGGCCTACAGGCTCCATAGGTGCATAAAAATCTGTTTTTTTCTGAGAAAATAATTTTAAAATCTGATTTTAAAAGAGATTGGTCCACTTATTACAGTAGAATGCACAATAAGCTTCGGTTGACGTGTTTGGACCATGAGTCCTCCCCTGTTACAATCAATCAATCTATTACAGTATCTTATTACTTACACCATAAACGTAGAGCTATAATAATAGATACTACTGTTATACTTTTGTTTTTATTCAAAACCAGTGTCAATGAACAAACAATCCAATGTTTTCATTTAGAATAGAATAAAATATTATGTCCATTTTCTCAATTCAATTGACTTACAATACATTGTACATGGTTCACAATTATTGTAGACCTACATTAAAAACTGGCAATAAAGAAAACCCAAAATAAAGTTGAAATTAAATATAAATCTGTTGTTCTCACCAGGCTGACAATAACAAGATACATTTTATCAATTGACATAAAATAAACTGAAGAAGAAAGACAACCGTCCTGTGTATGTATAATAAAGGTGTCCCGTATATTTTTAAGTTAGAGAAAATAATTAGGGCCTCTTTAGGTGAGGCATGAGGTCATTATTTACAAATTTTGGCTACAATGAGAGTTCAATCAGATCGATATTCCATGTTTCAAAAATGTAGATAATATAACTTAAAATATCATAAATTATATAAATTTGTTAAATAACACCAGGCTATATATAGGCCTATGTTAGGTATTAAGTTATATAAATTATTATACACACAATAGTTACATACTTTGTACATTAAATAACTACGGTACCTATGAACTCTAAAAAAAATAGGTACTTTGGTAAAAAAAGAAGGATTAAAGTATCGTTTGATTCATAACAAAACAAGAAACATATTTATGATAGATAACCCAACCTAACATAACCGCCGCAGCACGCACTAAAAATATGTGGCCTCCGTATAATACCAAAACATTTTTTTAAAGCAGGAATAGTAGTAGGTATATTTGAATAATTATAAACTATAAATCTTGTGAGCAGTCGTTTTGACATCACTGTTGGTAGAGAACAATATTATATTTTGGTTTATAATAATATATCAATATTTTCAATATTTTAATAAAATCAAATGACATTTGTCATAATTAGTGCATGTAAACAGGAATGTATGACAATGCCAGATTATTTATCATTTTACCATTGACTTTTTAATACTGAAGATTTTACCCACCATTACTAATAGTGTGGAATATAACAGTGTGGTTCTCAAATTAACAATTTTGTTAATAAAGAATAAACTACTTTAAAAATACTCGTAATTTTAAGTGTTGGGCACTGTATCAAGGACAAGCTTTCCTAGATATTGGAACCCTCAACTAAACCGGCCAAACTGGAACTAGCAATCGCCACAAGCCGATTTCACCTATCCACTATCACTAACAGGTTTGCCGATCAACCATCAATTAGTACCTACCAACTAATTTTTTTCCGTAGCCAAAATAACCACAATGTGTTATTCAACAGGGAAAACGCATATCTTAAATGGACGGCCAAATTAAACCTGAGTGACGTCACAGTGTTTAGAGAGAAACCTTTGATATCGAGGCCTTGAATTTGAATAGGTCAAGTGGATAACTCATTACACACACTAACACATCATTGTTGTATTTTGTGGAGCTATTTTCTTCGTTCATAATAAATACATAACAATCAATGGCAGTATTGATTAGTTTACCTCCAACTCTAGTATAATTAATATTTCTAATCAATTACCACACTCACATTACACTAATTTAATTACAGCGTAATAAAACATAAATTCCAAGACAGGTCACCAACTCACGTTTGTGTTGCCATCCGTTGGTGGATTTTATCGACAAGGCGAGAACAAAATACCCTGAAAACGGAACGCGCACTTGATAGCTATATAAATCAAAATGGCAGATGTTAGAATTTACACGTAACACGTTCGTGACGGAAGCTCGGTAGTATCTCGCAATCGCACCGCACAGCACACTAACACACAGCGACAGCGACAAAACTCACAGCTGATCATCAAGGTTATAGAGTCAGCTGAGCTAAGATTCAGCCAGCAGCCAGGTTAACCACCCGTCAACCGTCGCTATAACCGCGAAATACACTCCTCCGTCTTAACTCTCTAACCGCACAATCACAATCTAGAGAGTAGAGACTGCCGCCGCCACCGCCGCTGTCGGCTGTACAGCACAGCTGTAGCGCGGTAGTGGTGGTGGCTGGCGCTGGTAGGCCATTCCCGAAATAACTATCCTGGCGCGTTCACGTGGTTACGGCCCGGGTCAACAGGTGATAGAGCCGTTCACCGCTCGATACAAAATGTACATGCGTATTCGCCCCCCGGTCCCAATAATTACTGCCCATCTCTCTGGCACTCGAGTGCCTAAAATAAATAAATCTCCACGCGCATGTCGCCGTGGGGCCAAGGTCACTGATATAGGAAACGCCAATAACAAAATAGCTAACAAACTCGAGGCGGAGGTAAATCATTTACCACTGACGATTTCAAGTAGGTGAAAATAATTTTACACAATTTAATTTAATCTGTAGAGTAACGTAAAATTAAATTTTCCTAATACAAACATTATGAATAATTTTTTTAATTTTCAGTTTCTCGTAAGTCTAGACGTTATGTATCATCATCTCCGGCCAAACATCAATAACCGTAAACCCACCCCCTGCCCGTGTTCACGCCCACTTCCAACATCGATCTCATCTCCCAAGTGGGTATGTAGAGCACGTGGCTGTCACACCACTGACACAGCGACCTGATTCGGTCATTGTACCGCTGGAGGGTCTAGGTCTAGTTAGTTAGTTTGAAGGTTTGTTGTTAATTGAGTTTGGATAGAGTAATTTAGTTCTGGCCTGCCGTTATTTTATTATTAATTTTAGACATAAAGGAAATTACATGACTAATAAAAATTTGTAATACCCCCGCCGCAGCAAACCTGCAGACTAAGCGAATTTCCATTTGACTGATTGCATTTACACTGAAATGTCTACTTAAAAATATAACATTTTTTCCCGATTTAAATAGAATTAGCAAGTACTTAGGTGTGCTGCATCAGGGAGGGTAAAACTGTTTTTTTTGTAAAATGTTAATAGTTAGTAAGAAATATTAACATTTTCCAAATTTGATCAAAATATGTTCATAAACAAGCAAACTACAACAGTTTACTTATTCTCCATAAGAATAACATGGGAATTTTAAATTTACAATTTTTTGGAATTTTCTCTGTAACCATTAGGCGCATAATAAAGCTTCAATATACTAAATTATTTGTTTTTTTAAGCTCTACAAAATGGTTTGGAAATAAATTGCTAAATTTTATGTTTTTTGGGTCAAAAATGGGAAAAACCTATTTTTACCCCATAAAACCCCCCATAAACACCCGTTCCCATGGTCCGATCATGCTGGATCGCGAACTCGTTCGAATAAACGTAGGTTTACACGTTTGTACCAAATTTCATCAAAATCGGATCATTTTTGTTCGAGTTATCGTGCTGACGGACATATATATATATATATATATATATATATATATATATATATATATGAAT